AACCAGACGTTAAGCAAACCTATTTACTTCTAATGTGGAAAAAACAAACAGTATATAAAATTTCAGCATTTAGGTAGTGATGTCAGAAGTATAGTGTTGAAGCAGATTTTAGAAGGAATTGGAAGCCCAATCCTAAACAGGAAACAAAGGATAAATAAACCTTTACTCCTGCTCAAAAGACCAAAGGGTATACAGTTAAAATTGTTAGAAAGTAACTGAAGAGACCTTTAATGACACAGTAATTTAAAGAGCCTGCCTTAAAAAAAAGAAAAAAGAAAGAAGCTATGAAGAGCGATGATCACCTATGCCCTTTATTTTATAACATATAATCATCACAAAATAATTTCGATAAATCACTTAATCAAAAATTCACCATTTTTTTTTTTTTTAGAAAATACCCATGCATGATTAGGTTAAGATATGAGACGGGAATTAATAAAAAAAACAAAAAAACAAAGAGAATTAGTTAAAAGTTAGTGGATTTAGATGCATAGTCAGTGTACTTAAGGTTTGCATACATAATGAACATTGACTACATCAGCCTGGCTGAGGACTCAGATCTGGCTACTACAATTCTCGTGTTTGTTTAAAAATCTCATGTAGCTTCAGACCCATATAATTTACACGCTTATTTGGCATTTGTTCGGATATTTAATTTAATATCATACATTGAAATTAAATTGAGTTGTAAAATAATTGCGTAGTGAGCTAAATGTCATCAATCACATTGATTACAAGGCAACACACTCATCAGAATCTATTAAAATTATACAAAGAAAAACAAAAAACAAATAAAACAGTTTAATTGTAACAACAAAATTAGAAGCAAATAGTTATCTTTTCGAAAAATAAAATCAAATGCCTCCAGTTATTGTAAATGTGGCTTTTGACTTGTCAAGTTTATACGAGGGGTGGGGTGAGGGAGTGCTGAAAAGTTCTCAGCTCAAACAAGTAGGGATTCCAAAACAAATTTGGTTATATTTTAGGAAATGGACTGAGTTGAGAAACTTTCAGCACCCCTTTGTATATAAGAATCAATATATACGTGTGTATGTCTGTGTGTGCTCCCTGTGTTCTGACAATCACTTGGTAGATCTCAGCCAAATTTCATGTATGGTCTACACAGGTAACAAGTTTTCCAAATTAAGGATTTCAGCTGATTTTTTTTTTTTTTTTTTAATAAGAAAAAAAGGAGGATATCAACAAGTTCTTGAGAATCATTGAATGATAATGAAGATATTATTAAGCTGATGCAAAAATATTTGTAGTTTTTAAGTTAAACTTTCATAAGTACCCACAAAAATTTCATGGTCTTGCTATTTGCATTTTCTGATGAATTTTAATTCTTAATTGAATGAATGAATATGCTCTTTGTGATTTCTATGACTAGAAAATACCCATAGAAATTCCCCTATTGCATCATTAAATATTTGTGCTTAACAACTTTAACAAAATATTGCAAGAACAATCATAACAACAAATGCAGGTCATTATTTAAAGAAGTAAGAGGGTACAAATGAGATTTGAAATTGACAATTTTTTTCCATTACTCTGAAACAGACATTATCACTTCCTCTATCCTCTTTTTCTTTGCTTCTTTTTTTTTTCCTCATTGAAAACAAACCATGTCGCCAATATATCTTTTCTGTTTTTCCTCACAATCAAAACCATTATTTATGAGGCATTAGCAAAACATAAAATATGTACTAAGGAACAAGAAGAATTATAACAGGATGTTCATGTAATATGACATTTTAAAACAGAAAATTAGGAGCCATTGATTCATGCTAATAGTTTAGTTTTCACTGTTTACTGTTGTTTAATTCTGGTTATCAGTGATCTAAAAAAAAGGAAAAAAATTGAGATAATTTTATAAAGAATTTATATAAAGAAGTGATATTGTTCACAAGATCAATCAAGAATTTAGCCATGGGGCCGTCAATGGATATACAGCTCAACATTGATTCCAAAAATTTCCTAAGAGTCATGATGACAACGAAGTTTGTAGATGTCTTCCTGCAATAGACAACAACCAATTTGAAGGCCATTATTAAAGTGGACACACAAAATTTGAGAGATTGTAGAACTAAATCTTAACCCTACATCACTTGTTCAACATTTATACCAAATTGGAAAACCAAAAAAAACATTTTGACTAATGAGTGTCACATGAGCTGAGTGAAAATCAAAAGATCTGTTGTTACAAAATCTGTTCTGCAATAAAATTCCCTTTTTGATATCATTGTGACCTATGACAAAAAATAGAGTCTATATAACAACTGATAGTAATCAGCATGGTGGCTGAACCAAAGATGAAGCACAGAAAAGACATTCCCAAAGTTGCCTCAAAAGAAGTTTTGCCGTTACTGTTTGGTGGATGGCAAATGAAATCATTAACTACAACTTCTTGAATCCAAAAATTTGAATGACAGCAGAGAAATATTTCTTCTTGTTTTGTACAATAATGTTCACTCTGTACAATCCCCAAGAGCCACTCGAGGTAGAGTGTTACAGAGTAAGAGGCACAGTTTATGTGGATATGTGGGAAAGATAATGGTTAATCCTAGACTTGAACAGTTTAAGATTGTAGAGATCAGGGAAGCATCCTCTTAGGAGTCAGTTCCACAAAGCATATGCTCAAGTGGAATGTACATCTTACCAATGGAATATGAAAAGAATGATGGGAGTTAACTAGCATGGGTGTGGTATGGCGGGGTTTAGCCGTGAAGATTAGAACAGGTGAAAATAAGGAATGTACTTTGTCTGTACACTTTCCATGGAAATATTACCAGAAAATTGACAAAATATTCCAACAAGAGTAACATTTGCATCCAAAATTAGTCAATCAAAAATAACCAATTCTTCTTTTTGACAATGTGTCTTACAAATGGTTCTACAGAAATTGAATAAAGCAGGCTATGAAACTATTGCATCCTGGACTCAGTAGCAATAACTGAGCAATACTAAAATAAGAACTAGATGAGATATCCCTAGACATGGGCAATGAAATGTTAACAATCTAACCCCATAGATTAAATAATGAGTTCAGTTTGAAATCTCCAGTAGGATACCCAGATCAACATACACCTGATGAAGGCTGGAGAGCACAATGGCTGAAACATTGTGATAACAACAACAAAGATGAGGACAATAGTCCACTTGTAAATAATAATAACTCCTCATCCCAGAAATTCAGATAGAAATTATCTTGACAATTTCTCTCAAGAGATGGCCTTCAAAAAGCAAACAGCAGTTCAAAATACCTTTGAAGAATTTATAGAATTCTCTGCTACTCAAATAAATGGACTTGTTTATTTTTAGAGGCAATGTGTAAACTCTGGTGCTTCATATTTTGATTAAATTTTTTTATTAAACTGAGTTATCCCGCTTTATGCTTGATAGTTATAAACTGCAATTATTTTTGCACCAACTTAATAATAATATAGTTGACAACTTTCATTCCTAGGTCAATGGCACAAATATAACTGGTACCACATTCTTTTTCTTTAAAGCAAACCATTATTTTAATCCTTTAATTTTAAAAACTTGTACAATGTGTACATATACAAATTTTGGTGTTAATTCCATAGATATATTACAGATAAAATGCCTGCATGTGTACACACACATTAATTCTTATAAAATGGATACATTCCAAATGTCATTTGGATAAAAAATAAATATTTTTCTCTGATTAAAAAAGTAAAACAAATTCATTTTAAAGTTTAAAAAATATTAAACAATAAAACAGAAATTTTGAAACAACTTAAAACAGATGTAAAATATTACTTGCACATTGGCAAATATCAGTCGGCTGATATTAAAAAAAATACCCCTCCTTTTTTTTAAAAGAAGAAAAAGGGAGAGGAAGAAATTAAAATGTCTATGTACAAAATTATATAAAAAAATGCATGAACAATACATCGGATTATATCACAATGGTTAAAAGTCTCTTTGGCCGGGTCTTACAAAGTAGACATGAAGATTAGGAACACTTAGATTGGAGCAAAATTATCAAGTCATAAATTGAAAAGCAGCAGTTGTTTTTGGTAATTAAATTTAAGCACTCAAATTTAAGCATTATATACAATATACCAATAACTCTTCCTATTCAACTATCTAAACCTTAATTATATACTTACCCTAAACTAACTTTATCCTAAAGGTTGTGTATATAAACAGTAGTGTATATATTAACAATATTTAAAACTCTAGTGAGCTCTAATACTGAACTGGTTATATGTATAGTATTTCCTTGTATATTACAGTTGTGTATAAAATAAAATTATGCCATGTTCGCAAATTTTTAATACTCTGCATGAATTTTGAATGCTTCTGATAAAGAAAAAAATGTTCAACTTAACTTTTTATGAACAATGATTTTCTTTCGGTAAAAGTAATATTTTTATGTAAAATATCATTTATTTGGACCTCGTATATATATATATATATATATATATATATATATAAGGTTAAAGAATAATGAACAAATAATAAAAAAAAATCAATCTGCTGAATAAACAATTTTTTTCCTCAGACTATTTGTTATAAATAACTGACTTTTGTTTCATATATTTTACGCAAAAAATGAATGATCATATCCAAAGTAAAGATATTTCCTGCATACTTCACTGCAGTTGTTCATAGGCTTTTTGTTCCTTTAAAGGCCATGAAAAAAATTAGAATGAACATTAATTACCTCAAAATTAATTAGTTTTTAAGAGCACTCACTGTCCCTGGCATGCTTTTTATAAGTCAAATGCTAAATTTAAGTGCTTAAAAGGTCTCTTGTTCCAACCAGTGACCTTACCCGAAAAATTCAATTCAATTTCTACATCTATTTTGTAAAATTTTGGCCATCTTATTCAATATTCACAAATGCTTTTCATTGAAGGTGACATGTTAGGCATCAAATATTTTGTACTGTACAACCAAAGGGAATACTGAAGAAGTTGTCTCCCCTGATCGTGTTGCTGCCATGATGGTTTTCATGAGTATGTTTAAAAACCAGACCAAGAAGCCGTGATTGCTTTTTGCACACGGAGTGAATAAGTCACTTTCTTTGATGTTAGCCTGAAATTTATAAAAAAAAGAATGTTAAAATAAAATCAGATTCTATCAATGGATTTTTATGTATACAAAAATTAAAAAGAAAAAACATTGCAAATCTTAATTTGCAAAATTTATATAAATGTTTTGAGTTTAAATACATTTAAATATTAAATTATTATAATTATGTTATTAAAGTTATATTTTATTAATATAAGTATTATAGATTTTATTTTATATAGAAACATTTTGGAGACATTGTATTTTTTTTCATTTGGGCATTTTAAAGACATGATATCTGACTTGAAAATATTCTGAAATTGAATGAAACAATTGGAAAAAAATTCAAATGACTGATGCATACTGATATGTTCATGATGTATCAACAATTTTGAATAACTTGTGGAGGTTAGCTAGGTCTGTAAATTTTGTGTATTCGGCAAGGTTTGTATATTTTGCATATTTAGCAAGGTCTGTAGATTTTGTGTATATGTTTAGGTGAAGGTACATGTTTAATATGTAAGCAACAAAAATAGAAGCATACAAAACTTGAATTTCTGCTCCTGATGCTTATTCCTTTTATGTTGACTGTACTGAAACAAAGTTAATTGTCTCTTGAGTATGCCCATTTTCCTTTTTGGTTCAGAAATAATTATGGAAAGTAAGGATAAGAATGGGTATGCACAGAAGTACTGACAGCAGTCAGACACAGGAGACACATTCATGACACCAAGCCAAAAAAATTCCATCTCATTTGGGCACTTATTCAGTGCATCACCAACTATGATGACTGCCGTAAAAGAAACCTGAGTTACTTCTTTCCATATATATATATATAATTTCGCCGTTACACATTTGAACTAGTTTATCTACAACACTTGTATATCGTTATAATGGGGCCTCACATCAGTGAGGGGGGCCGGTGTGCAACTGAAACCGTTGAGAGGAAGGCCCAGAAACGGTGCACATTCTCTCCTGATGACCCCAGTTTAAAATTCGAGAGGAACACATCAAAATTCAGTGAAATCATATGCCGTAGCGAAGCTCGGTGGAAGTGTCATTGGCATGAGGAGCATTATAGATTCAGCTCGCTTCAGGTGAGTTTCAATTACTTTCCAGTAATTTCCTTCTATATATGCATACACTCATATACAGGGTGATTGAAAATTAACTTCATATTTTAAAATACTAATAATTTATTTATTAACTATAATTTTTACAAGAAATGAATATGAAAGGAAAGCATTTAGCATGAGGTTTCATTTAAAATTCAATATAGGCACCAGATTTCACTACCAGATTCTCAAGCCATCCAGGAATCACGTCAACTGATTCCACCAGGAACTCTTGTGGTATGGAAGACATAACTTCTTGTATTCACTCTTCAAGTTCTTCCAAAGTCTTGCTTTGGTATAGTAGACTTGTTCCTTTAACCAATTCCAAAGAAAAAAGTCATAGGGTGTTAAATCAGGACTCCTGGCTGGTCACTCATACATAAAATAAGGAGTAAATTTTGCAATCACATATATATATATATATATATATATATATATATATATATATATATATATATATATATATATATTCAACAACTACACATATTATACACACATTCATACATCTGTACATGTAGAGATATTTTATTTCAAAAGATTTCTTACAAATTTTCTTTAAGACTTCAAAGAGCAGCTTTTCTCTTTCACTTAATTGTTACTATTGTTGTTAATTGTATTAAAATTGTTAAACTTCATTGTTTTATTCATTGTTTTGGTATAAAACAAAATATTATTGGTTCTTTCTTTATCTCGTTTGACCTAGGCTGCAATATCACCTTCTTATTATTCTAAATGGGATAAGTAATAAGCACCTTCACTGCCAAAACAAGGCCAGCAACAATCAGCAGCAGCCACCAAAACAACACTCTTTATAAGTTCACTTACCTTGAATATGTATTATCAAATATAATTTTATAAATTCCCATATCTCTTGGCGTGAGTTGACCTTTAATTGTCTGTTTATGGGAATTGCACTTTTGGACAGGCACAATGATTAGGGAAGACTCATCAGAAAGTTTCAAATTAGAATTTTCAGGAGTATAGTGGACACCAAATGCAATATCCTAGTAAAAACAAGGAGAAAAATAACCAGTTTTAAGATACCCACAATTATCAAAAAATATAAAGAAATTATAAGCGAAGTAAGAATAAAACTCAATAAATATATGTTAGAAAGGAAAAATCTATTTCCATGAAGATATGTAGCTATGTTAAACAAAAAGAAACCACAGAAAGATACTAAAATCTTTGTTCTGTAATGTATACTGAAAAAAAAAAAAAAGCAAAGAAAAATAGAGAAAGAGACAAATGTTGCCATATTTAGTCACTAGATTGCTGAAACATCTATCTATTAGGTTGGAACAAAAATTTGTAATATTTTATTAAGTAAATTTCTGTTAATTCCCCTCTCCAAGTTCTCCACTGCCTTAACCAAGTACTGAACTCACACTCTTTGGGTCCTGTCACTGGATCTAACCAACGCCTTTATCCACTGTGCCATGTGTCCTTGAGGAGATAACTGACATCTATTAAACATGGCATGTGGAACTAGAACAGTCTACCCCCAGTGAGTGAAATAAAGGGTTCAGTTCAACATTCCAACCACCTGAAGAAGGCTGGAGTGTACTACGGCCGAAACGTTGTAATAAATATGGCAACAAAGATGAGGACAATAGTCCGAATAATGTAAATAATGTACATAATACCTCATCTCAGAAATATAGACAGATACAAAATGAAACAAATACCCAAAAATTAATAATACCAGTAGATAATCTGAAAGATTTTAAAAACTAAACATTGTAATATTGAATGAATTATAACAATGAGAAAAGTATGAATCAAGCTGTAATGTAGCTTAACTGTGCCTTTTCTATAAATACTTTCATGATGTACTTTTCTCTATGGTATCTAGAGTTTATGAATTTAAGTGCAGTACTAGACTGGTGGCAAAGTCTCATCATTTTACAGTTGAAATGGCTAGATCTAACCATAAGTTCTATGAAAACAATTTCTTCTCTTGCACATCTCGCTTGCGGAACTTTTTTCCCGACTTCTTTGAGACTAAAGTTTTTCTTTTGAGACAGCTTGTTTGTCCATGAAAGTCAGGTTCCCATTCCTTAACAAAAGAAAGTAATATACTTACCTTTGGGTAAGTAGTGAACTCCCAACAAATATCAAGGCCATCCCGATCAACAACAACAGATACTGTGTATATACAGCCATAGCGGATCCAAATAACTCTTTGTGAATTTATTTCACCTCGTTCCAGTTCTTCAAGTGAAACTGTGATGCTGCTAGGAAATGTACTGAGAAAGAGAAAAAAAGAAATTTAAAAAAAAGGCATTCTTTTGTACAAAATAATAATTGTTATAGTACTTATTTTTATTGCCTGCTGGTTCTTCTTTTATAGAGCACTTCCTACCTTATGTAACACTTCCTGTCTTTTACAGAGTACTTCCTATCTTTTATGTAGCACTTCTTGTCTGTTGTGGATCTAATTAATTCTTGCCCTTTTTTCTACCCTCCATTCTCTCATACTGCTTGTACCTTCTTCCTTTCTATGTGTCCTGTGAGTGTTAAATTTTCCAAGTCATCCTTTCTCATGATGTCTCCCAGAAACTTCAGCTATCTCTTTCTGATTGTTAGCAACAATTTCCTTGTATTCCTGTTTTCCTTAAAACTTTCTTGTAAAACTAATGTTTTATCACTTGCGACAAACACTAAATACAACTGAGTTTCAAATAGATGGAATAGCTGAAATAAAAACGGTGGCTGAAATTTAACAATTTTTGGTAATGAAACACTTTATCCTAAAATGCTTGGAGACTAAGTTAGAGAGTAGGTGAAAATTTGTTGAAAATATAATGGTGGCTGGAATAAAGATGTCTCAGATTGATTTTTTTCCAAAAAAGAATAATCATTGCAGCCTGTCTATTTGAAACTCAAAAGAATTTATCTGGGCAGCCATATGAGATATAATAATATGTGATAAAAAAAATTAAAATTAAAATAAAGAATAAAATTATATGTGTTTATAACATTTAAAAAAAGTGTATATATGCAGAGACATTCTTAGGAATTGAAGGGCTCTCAATTGGAATCATTTTCTGTGGAATCCCAGAGTCAACAACATAAATCTGTATATTTACATGTGTAATGAAGTCATTTTGTATTATAAATGATGACAGAAGACTGAATCTCTCATACTTAACATTACGTTTTATTTAGGTGGTTTGAATAAATGAACAGAAGTGGTGCATAACTAGTTGCCTTCATAGAAACTGAGGGAATGAATACAGTGTTTTTATGGACAAAGGACCAAAGCATTGTGGGAGTTTTTTTTTTTTGTTAGGGGTTGGCTTTTTGGTGGTTGCAACTAGGGCAAATACTCTGGAGTACCAAACAGAAGTAGATTGCTAGAGGAGATAAGAGGAAGCAGAAGTTGGAAAAGATAAAGAAATAGAAATCTGGAAATTGTGTTGCCTCTCCAGTAAGAGTTGCCCATGACATCTTTAACAACAATATTATTTGTACCCAGAACATTGAAATTTCAGAAAAGGTTGATTTTGAAGGTTTGCTTCTCTTGCAACGTGTTTTAAAAGGTTTGAAAAATGCCAGCTTTTTAAGAATGTCACTGATTCAACTTAAATACATTCCATTTGGGCGATGCAGTTTAGAGTTGATTGTCCAGGCCAAAGTCAGAATTGGTAAAGCCATGCTCTTCATTCTTGTTCACTTTATTTAAACCACAATTTAACTCCTTTCTTTGTCAATTAATATTGGCCAGTATTTTAGAACAGGCATGGGCCTCTATGCACCTTACATTCTCATGTGCAAGAAACTACCCCACTCTTATCTAGAGTGGATGTATATATATCTCCTGCAATACAGTCCCCTCACATGCTTGCAGCCAGGCCAGTCACATGAATCTGCACTATGCAGCTGAGAGTTTACTTTAGGTCAACTCTTCACCAGGTTTCTCTGATGTTACATTAAGTGCAAAGTACATTCTGACTATGATATCAAATGAGACACATGTTTGTCTTTTTGATTTTTTCAGAGAAATACATTCTTATACTGTTCTATAATTAATTCACATATTTGATTCCAATGCAATAAAAAAAATGGCACATATGGATAAATGTGCATACAATAAGATGGAGTGTGAAAAAAACTGTCTTTACATTGACACCACTTTTTTTAACTACCTTCACTGTTTGGCAATATTTATTGTTTTAAAAAGTGATAATTAGAATTGGAATAAAATCTAAACATATGAAAGAGAATTTGTTTTCTTTGTTCTTGAGAATTTACACCCAAAAATAATAATTTATATTTATTTATTAGATTATTTATTGGAACGGTTGGTAGAACATCAGCTAATTGCCAATTGATTCAAACTTTATAAAATGATAAATAATAAGTATTTCCTTATAGTTGATTCACATATTTTAAAAATTTAGTAAATTTATGAATAAAAAATTGTTTTCATATTTATTTTCTTATAATATGGTAAATAGTAAATATTGCATTAGTTCTAATTGTATTAGTTTTTAGAATGCTGTAAATAGAAAATTATTCTTGTAAATAAACAATCCAATAAATAGTATTTAATATTTTTGTTGTAAATTCTTAAAAATAGAATTCACTTTTATCATATGTTTAGGCTTTATTCCAAATCTAATCATTGATTTTGATTAAAAAATGAAGAATATATTTAAAGAATAAAAATTACTTTTATTAATTTTTATCGTTTTTTGAATGCTTCTGCTTACATATAAAAAATACTTTTTATACATAAAGTAATTTTAAAACTGTTTTTATTCATTTTTGCCATCTAAAATTAATTCTAATTACATCATAATTGATATCTGCCAACAGAAATATTTAAACTCTGAAATTTAAAATTTCCAAAAATAAAGTGGTCTTTATAGAAATGTTGGGGTGATGAAAATTAGTTAATGATTACTTAAGATATATGGGAAAAGACATTGTTCATTCAGTGTAGTGGACTGGTAAATAGGATTTTACCTATTTGCATATGTTAAGTAAAAGAGATATAAAGTGCATAGTAAACTAAGAGACAAGGTAAGAAGTTGACTACTGATCATGTGTCATAGAAGAACACAATACAACACTCAGTTTTAAGATCAAGTGGATATTGTGTCAGTTTTTCCTTATCTATATACGATGAAAGCCTGTTTAAATTTATAAGCATCTCATGGAACAGCTGATGTATGGATGACCAAACTTGATATTAAACTCAATGGTAAATATATATTCCCAGCATTAAAAATATTGTCATATGACAAGCAACACTCCAGTTATTAAATAAATAATGATTACTATATTAATAGATTTTGTTCACTTATCAGTATACTATTGCTTTATTATGTTATATAAATAAGTTCACAAAACTATCTCTTGCTGTCTATGCATGTATGTTAATCTTGTAAACTCCCTAGTAGGGTATGGGACCACAGGCTCAACATGTGAGGTGCTGCTGTTGTGGTTTTTGTAGCAAGTAGATGTTTATGGGGTGGAGTTGCTAGCTGCATGCCAAACTAATTTTGAATTCAGTGTTGCCCTTCTCCTAGACTGGTTGCCAGCAAAAAAACTTGCAAGCATAGTCTTCCCTGCTATTAATATCTAGCTGGGCTGAAAAAAAAAATGAATTCATAGGTTTCCAAAGGTATTTATATGAAAGTGAAAACAATGGCCTTGGATGAAATTTGAACTCAACATGCCAATAATTCCACTTTCCAAGTGAAGTTGTCAGCCCCATGTCCAAACAGTTTTGAATTTAGTCTTATCATTCTTCTAGTTTGGTTGCCAGTTGCTTCAAATGGAATTTGAACTCAACATGCCAATAATCCCACTTTCCAAGTGAAGTTGTCAGCCCCATGTCCAAACAGTTTTGAATTTAGTCTTATCATTCTTCTAGTTTGGTTGCCAGTTGCTTCAAATGGAATTTGAACATGCCAATAATCCCACATGCCTGTCCAAACAGTTTTGAATTTCCATGACAATAATTTGAACTATACCTATGCCTTTCCATGACAATCCCTTGCTACATATACTTTAATATAAAGTAAAGAGAACTTACAGATCATTGTCACTTTCTGCTTTCTCAGTCCTCATTTTGGCAACCTCTTCATCACTAATGACTGCAAAATCTGATGGTGAATTCTTTGGGCAGTCATTGGCAATGGCCACTTCGTTTTTTTGAGGAATTGCTTGTTCTGTTTTGAATTTGGATTCAAGGGTTTCAGATGGAACCACTGCGGCTGCTTCTTCAAAGATTTTTGCACTAGAAACAGAAAAGACATTTAAAATTATTCCTATGTTCAATGAATTTAAGGTTATTTCAGTCAACAAAGTCATGTGGTTTTAACAAGATTGGGTGGATATATGTACATATTTTATACAAGTATTTGGAATTTGAAATATAGCTTTCGAAAAAAAATGATATTTTGTTGCCAACAAAATCTAGTCTACCATACTGACATTTTTTTTTTTTTTTTAATAATGACTGAGTCAAAAGGACTAGAACAGAAATACAAACTCTGGACAGTTTTTCTACAATTTTGATTTGGATGTACAACTTGTTTAAAAAAAATTTTTAAAATGCAGTAAAAAGTCTTATTGAAGAAAATGTATCTCTCAGCAGGTATATCTTCTTTGATAAGACTTTCTATGTCTAGGCCAGTGGACATTAATTAGTTTGCAAAAACAAAAATAAAAATAGAACTAGAGATGTTCACACAAATACATGTATCCATTAAAATAATGTTTATAGTAAGAAAAATATCACATTATATAGAAAACAATTATTTAGATCTTTTTCCCTTTTCAACAAAGCAAATAACCTTCATACGTTATGATTCATAATTATGACGAAATTTCAAATGTTTATTTCTAGAATAATGACATATCATCATCATGAATCATAACATAATCTGTTAATCAATTTTCTATGTTATTTCTTAATTCAGTGGTTCACAATCATTTTTTTTTACCTTTACAACAAATTTCAAAATGGAATTCCATTTCCATGACTGACTCAAGAAGATACATTGTAGAATTATAGATCAATATTATAACAGTTTCAATCAACCAATCTGTGATCTTAATTACTCCTGAGAAAAGTGAGGATTCCTCATGGGAAGTAGCTGAGGCTAAATAAGGGAATGAATGGTTGAAATCCATATCTTGATTATCTAGAGTTCACTTATTTAGATATGAATTGAAGAAAAAGATTGAAATCATCTGTATATTTTTCACTTATCCGGACTTAACCCATTCTGATATTTCATCTCAGATAAGCGTTTTGAGCTGAGGTCGGGATAACAGTGGAACACGCCCCTTTGTAACCTGAGTGACGGGCAATGCAGAATGAGTTTCTAGTATTTATGATACTCAGGATTGTTTTTCAGTGGTTAAGTACTCATCTATGGTTCACCATTCCTATAGAGAGTTTGAGCTAATTTAACTCCTTTGATAAAAATCAATTCATTCTTGTTAAATTTCTCATTGTTTTCATACAAATCTTACAGGAATTAGTTTCCAGTGATGGTGAGGATATTCTTATATTCGTAATGAAAATTGATGTGCTGAAAGATAATGAAAGGATAGGCCTTGTGGAACCAGATATCTTCAGAAAAAGTGCATGTCATGGGAAAGTTACTTCTAATGGAAAATGATTCCACTGTAAAGATACAGAAGGCACTTTGGTTGAGATAAGTCATATGGGTGATGTGATGTCACTCCAAACAGTGACAAAATTGGCAGCCAAATTCAGTTTGTTTACAACAGCTTAACCAAAAAGTTGCTTTCTTTAGCCTGGCCTCCATGGTATGGGCAGGGGCTAAATCTGCCTCCCCAGCAGCTTACAAGTCCATAGTGCCGTTTTCCTTTGGGAATATATCTTTCCCTGATATAGAAAGACACTCCAGCTCTTTTTTTTTCTTTCTTTTTTGATAATTTAGGTTTCAATAATCTAGAATTTTGAATTATCCAGAAAAACAATGTTTCCACCGCTGTCCCAAGGTGTCTGGATAAACAAGTAAGTACTGTAGATGTTATTTATAACACAAAGAGATTATTCCAGATTGTAAGCTATAAAATCTCTTAAGACTTTCTTTTTATGCACACAAATGCACTTACCTTTCTTCTGCAGCATTTTCAAAATATTCTGATTTGCTGATGTCAGTGGAAGTGATGGATGACTGGCCAATATCAGAGCTTTGGTAACGTAATAAACTATCCAAGTCATCATTGTGATCTGAAAAATAAGTGATTTATTTAACATTGTTTTACAAGACTAAAAATAGAGTTCATAATTTTGAGAATAATCAAGAATTGTTTGGATTATTTAACTCAGTGTTGCATTTATTGTTAGCCAATACATTCTCCAACCATCTTCAGGTCTACAATCCATATCAAGGACACTTTTCATATTTTTAACAAGAGTCATTCATCATACTGTTTTTGTTGATGTCATAAAAGTGCAAAAAGAAAAAACATTATCCAAATGGATTAGTGTTAAAGTCATGTTCGTAAAGATTTTTTTTGATTAGTAAGAATTTTTTTTTAATATGAAACACCTGTGTTAACTGAGTTGTTAAGAATAGAATTGACTGAAGGGAGCACAATTCTGGAAAAAACTGAGCTGCTCAGTATATCTGCCATCATTTTTTTCTGTTTGCCACCACCTTTTGGTAAAAAAGATCAGTTTATTTACTTAAATATTGTATATGCCTGAAGAAAATTGTTGACTGACTCACCAAAATATTATTGAACAACACAATCAAAAGTATGAGTTGAATCGATGATTTATAAATTATAAAGAAAAAATAGGAACACTTACAGGTTTGATAAGATAGAAAGGATATCATACGTTTGATAAGAAAGAAGAGGATGTTACATTTATGGGACAGAAGGATATCTTACATTTGATAAAACAGAAGGAGATCATACATTTGGTAAGATGGAAGGAGATCATACATTTGGTAAGATGGAAGGAGATTGTACATTTGATAAGCCAGAGGGAGATGTTACATTTGATGAGATAAAAGGGGATGCTATGTTTGATAAAATGGAAGAACATCATACGTTTAATAAGACTGAAGGGTAACAGGCATTTGATAAGATGGAAGGGCATGTTATGTTTGATAAGACAGAAGGAGATCATACATTTGATAAGATGGAAGATCATACGTTTGATAAGCCGGAAGGGGATATTACGTTTGATAAGCCGGAAAGGGATGTTACGTTTGATAAGCCGGAAAGGGATGTTACGTTTGATAAGACGAAAGGGGATGTTACGTTTGATAAGACGAAAGGGGATGTTACGTTTGATAAGACGAAAGGGGATGTTACGTTTGATAAGACAGAAGGGAATGTTACATTAGAAAAGACAGAAGGGAATGTTACATTAGAAAAGACAGGATATCAAACATTTGTTAAGACGGAAAGGTATATTATGTTTAATAAGATTAAAGGAGATCATACTTTGATAAGACAAAAAGGGATGTTACATTTGGTAAGGCAGAAGGGGATGTTACATTTGGTAAGGCAGAAGGGGATGTTACATTTGGTAAGGCAGAAGGGGATGTTACATTTGGTAAGAGACAGGTTTTATGGAATAATTTTTTTTTTTTTTATTTATCAACCCTTTACAGGTTATTCAAAGCTAAAATATATTTTAGATTCTAAGAATAATTCTTTTCATTTTTTGCATGTGAATATTGCATTAAAATTTTTTTTTAAATTATAACGATTTTGCAGATTAAAGTCCTACTGTTTAAACTATATCTGGGGATAAGATAGAAGGGAATATTATGTTTGATAACACAGAAGAAATTTTATATTTGATAAGACAAAAGGGATTGCTTTATCCCTAGGTTACTTAATTGAAGTACCTGTAAACCATTATTTTTCTTTGATACTTTTAAAAGTATTTACATTATGAATTTGTTTTGTGACATTGTTACAGACCAAATTCCTTATACACTTTTCTTTTCATATAAAAACATTCTTTTTACTTTAATCTGTGAAGAACAAATTTTAAAGACTAAGAACTTTTCTATTTACACTATTTAAATAATTCAGACTGTTGTCCTCATCTTTATTGCTATATTCACAACGTTTTGGCCATTGCACGCTTCACCCTTCTTCAGGTGATATACATTGGAAGAACTGTCCTGATCTTTGTCGCTATATTTATTACAACGTTTGGCTGTTGTATGCTCCGGCCTTCTTCAGGTGGTTGGAATGTCGAACTGAACCCTTTATTTTGCTCACTGGGGTAGACTGTTCTAGTTCCACGTGCAATGTTTAATGGATGTCAGTTATCTCCTGTTAATTTCCTTCTGAAAGTTCTCCACTGCCTTAGCCGGGTATTGAACTCACACTTTTTGGGTTCTGTCACTGGATCTAACTAGCAGCTTTATCCACTCTGCCATGTGCAGTGAACGAAATAAAGGGTTCAGTTCGACATTCCAACCACCTGAAAAAGGCCGGAGCATACAACGACCGAAACATTGTAATAAATATCGCGACAAAGATGAGGACAATAGTCCGAATAATGTAAATAATGTACATAATACCTTATCTCAGAAATATAGACAGATACTGTTGGAAGAACTATTAATGATTTCTTTTAATCCTGATTTAAATATGTTTTATTAACAATAAAAATAAATAGTTTATCAGCATTATAAGAATCCAATTTCTGTTTATGTCAGTTAATACAGCAAGAAAGTTTCATAAGAGTGAGATTTGTTAGATTTTCTGATTTGTAAAGAAATTCCCAATTCAATGTTGAAAATTAATAATAATAATAATAATAATAATAATAATTTGCAGTCTGCTTTTAAACTCACCCCAATAATAATGATCCGATTTTTCTATATTAGTTTGTGTGTTTGTTAAAAAAGCTGAAAAGAAAATCACATCAACATTGGAAAAGAAATGAAGAAATTACTAATTGCTGCATAAAATACCGATACTGATAAAATAATGGGACCTGCAAGATAAATCTCCTTTTATTACATATTTTTTATATAGAAATAGTTTTTTTTTTCTAAAAAAAAAAACAAAAACAAAATAAACATTATTTCATGGTTGTCATTATTTTAAGCAAAAATTATTAATTTTTCATTTCTTCTCTTTCCCTATTTCATTATGAATATTTAAACACTTTATTAAAAACAATTTTTCTAAATTGTATGCATGCATATTCAAAAATCAATCAACACTAGATACCTGCTGATTAGCAATTAGTAAAAGTCCAACTTTAATTTTTAAATGTAGTTAGAATTTAATTAATTACAGAGTATTCTCCCTTATTGATTTAGCTATTTGGAAATTAGTATAAAATAAATTTTATGAATAGGAAGTAACTTGATATCAAGGTGGCTTTTAAATAAGTACTAAATAAAATCAAGATAACTACAATCAGTAGGTTATCTTTCTAAGGTTTTATTCTGTTCTAGAATATTCAATTCACTCCATAGTTTATTGCTAAGCTTCTGCCAACTGCATAAGATTTCAGGACGAGCCTTTTCAACCCAGCTGAATTGACATTTCAACAAATACATGACACTAATCAATTTAGTAGTAGAGTCAAATAAGAAAGTATGCAGAAGTCAGACTAAAAATGGAGTAATGCTGCCACATCTGGACCAGAGCCGCCCAATCCTCACTTTCCAACCTCAACCAAATTCAAAAGTGTTTACACAACCTTGTGAGAGATGAACTATTTTACCCATTTCAACCCACTCTCTCACAGAAGAATGGCTGGCATCTAGCTGCTCTACCACTTATTTTCATGGTAGACATTTGGGTGAACTACATTCCTTGTTTCAACCAGTCCACATCTTTACAGCTAGGACCCACCATACTACATACACTGACTCATCCTCATTCTCTTTATATTCCATTTATGAGGAAGAAGTTCCACTCAGTTTCTTCCTCAGAACTTTTGCAATGTGGAATGGATTCCTGAGGAGATGCTTCCATTATCACTAAAATCTTAATCTCTTTGAGAATTAACAATTATCTATCCTACATATCCTCTTAATATGCAATCCGTGCTCCCTTCGTATACACCTTTACATCATCTCCATTCAGTAACCTTCTACATTGAGTGGCACTTAAGCCTTGTATTTGGCGAAAAATAGTGTAAAAGAAAAAGGGAAAGAAGAAATGTATTACATGCAAATAACAAACAATATTACACACCATATAACAAACTGAAACGATATAACATGATTAATACTGTAACAAAACAAAACATACAGGGATATTACCGTTTCATATAACATCAAATGTAACCAGAAAGAACAAATTCATAACATGTAGTGGAGAGGAACAGGGGGGTTAGCTGATAATTTTGTTCTTTAATAGACACTCCCAAATTTATAAACCTTATGCCAAATTTGTTGTGAGGTTCAAAAATGTTCTAAATAAAGGATGCAGTCAAAAATAAATCAAATTGCATCTTATATGCAAAGATGAGATTTTTCTATCAACCATTATATTGGCATTACTACTTTTGCATGTAGAATACAAGACATCTCTCTCTCTCTCTCTCTCTCTCTATATATATATATATATATATATATATACACACACACACACACACACACAAAGGGATGCGATGTATAAATTGTCGCCATTATATTTTTTTTAATATCATGCATGCACAGTGTAGTAGGGTCAAGTTGGGCACCATCTGGGAGAAAAAAAGCACCCTGGCACAATTCACTCTGCCAGAAATTTGGAAACGTCATGCTGTACTGCTTGGCATTCATGCTGGAAGCTCCAATACAAACATTTCAGAGTGTTTGGGTGTCAATCTGAGGACAGTGCAGAGGATTTGGAAAGAGTTGGATGAGTGTAATGGTGATTACAAAGGTGTATGGTGTGATCACTAGTGATGGCAACATTATGCCTCCATTTATCTTCCCACAGGGCCTCAGACTCAACACAGAAACCTATATCAAGTTCCTTGAAGAGGTAGTGCTGCCCCAGATCAATAGAGTGGCTGCTGGAAGACCCTATATTTGGCAAAAGGACTCTGCACCATGCCACACAAAACAGGAGAACCCAGTCATGGCTGTCAGACAATTTCTGCAACCACATCACCCCTTACATCTGGCCATCTAACTAAAACCACCTTGATTATTATGTGTGGGGTGCAGACAAGCAAGAGACTAACAAAACTCCTTGTAACACCAAAGATGAACTGAAGGCAAGGATTATGGCAGCATTCAACAACTTAAACAAGGAGATCATCCAGAAGAATTGCAGGAGATTCTGAAGTTGTCTGGAGGCCATGGTTGAAGCCAATGGCGATTTTATTGAATAAATTTACTGTTTAGTATTTAAAGATATTTTTGGTAAATATATCTGTTATAATGAGATATCAATGTTATTTCAATTTTTGCATAATTTAGTTGACAATTTATATATCACACCATATATATATATATATATATATATATATATATATATATATATATATATATATATAGGATTAATTACAAATATAAAATTTGTCAGCTGATTGATGTTATATTCAGCTCCTCTACTCTGGAGTTTCAAAGACGAACCTTTGTCATTGTTCAATCCACTTGTCAGGAGATATCAGCAAATGTCTGTCAATTTTCTTGTTTTCATTATTTTTATACATTTTTTAAAGTTATATGCTTTTTTATTGATGTTAGTTTTTTTTTTGTATGTGTGTGCACACACCTATGCATGTGCATGTACACTGTACATATACACATCTGTAGGATGTTGTGGTTATTTGTTCTTTTCATAATTTACTTGTCATCTTTTACTCTCTCATTATTCATTTTCTTACTTTTTCTTTATCTTTCAGCTTTGA